TTTATCAAATTGTATTTTTAAAAAATATGAGATTTACACATGTTATGAGGGGTTAAAATAATATTTTAAAATTATTTATTATTAGTAAGTATTTTTATTTTTAAAATATTTTTAGCAACCCAAACACTCCTTTAAGGCAAATGTGGACCGCGATCTACAATGCATTGTGGTCCAGGCATCGAATATGCACTAGAATTTCATTTCAACAAAACTACAATATTATTTTGATATAACTACAGTTTCGCTGAACATTATACACTCAAATATGTGAAATTATTATTCAGTTTTATTTTGTATACACTGCAGTTTCATTTCATCTTAGACAGTGTCAGTTTAGACTTTAGATACACTATAGTGTCTGTCATTTTGGAACATGATCCACAAAGCTTTGTGGACCGCGGTCCACAGTATAATTGCTGCTCCCTTAGTCTCCCATCTAAAACTGATAAAAAAAAGTCATTTCATTAAGAAAATTAAAACTAATTAAAGTAAATCTAATCATGTTATATTTATCTATAACAGTATATTAATTTTATTTTGAAATCATTGGTTCATATATTTGAATTATTTATTTATTTTTTCTTTTTAATTATTTGAAACAGAAATGATATTTTACTAATTAATTTATAATATTTATCAAATTGTATTTTTAAAACTATAGTGTTTTACCCGTGTGTTGCATGATTTTTTTTTTTTTTTTTGTTATTATGAATTTAAAATTAAAAATAAAAGAAAATGAAAAGATGTTAAAATGTACAATATAATAATATAGTTGGACTTTTTATATTTGGTCAAGTATCTATTTTCATAACATACAAAATTAAAATTTTAAATTTATATGATTAATATAATCTCTAATCATTTACATATTTAGATAAATTTATAGAAAAATTAAAATAATTAAGTTGATTTATTCCTAATTGTATTTCATATATATTATAATTCTAGAAATATGAATAATAACTAAGAGAGTTATACTTAGAAATCAATACAAAAAATATAAATTTTTAATTTTTAATGAGTACGTTTAAATTGTAATCGAACGTATTTTTTTATATGATTATACAATAGTAACAATACATTGTATATACACACAATATTTATGAATATGTATATAGAAAAATTCTATAATATACTTTCATTAATTATAATTTATATTGATATATTTATAATTAAAAAATTACATTTAGAAAGCTAAAATTTTACATTTAAATTTTGTATAATTAATACAGTGCATAAGTGTATGTATGTATGGATTTATTTAAATTTATAAATATTTATTAACACATATTTTGTTAATTTTATAATATCATTTCTTAATTATATTTCATATTTTATTATTTACTCCCTATAATTTAATAAATTTGCCACAAATATTACAACGGAAGAAATATTATATTTCTCAATTTTATTAATTATATTAATTATAATTATCAAATATTGTGGTAATTACTTTAATAATTTCATTAATTATATAAGTAATATTTATTAATATTATATATATATATATATATATATATATATATATATATAGAGAGAGAGAGAGAGAGAGAGAGAGAGAGGAAAATTCTATAATATAATCTTATTAATTATAATTTATATTGATAGATTTATAATTAAAAAATTACATTTAGAAATTAAAAAAGTAACATTCAATTTTTGTATGATTAGTATAGTGCATAAGTGTATGTATGTATGTATTTAAAAAAATTATAAATATTCATATTTTGTTAATTTTATAATTTCATTTTATTAATTATATTTTATATTTTATTAATTATAATTTAATGAAATTGCCACAAATGTTTCCACAGAATAAATCTTATATTACTCAATTTCATTAATTATATGAATTATAATTACCAAATATTGTGGCATTACCATTATAATCTTATTAATTATAATATTTGTTTTCTTTCAATATTTAAATACATTACCATAATAATTACACGAAAAAAGGAAAGAAAAAGTATTAGAATAATTGCCATTAATAAAAATTAGGAAATTATATTATAAATTAATTATACATTAAGGTAAGTATAATTTATTTTGTGCCAATAATATTATACATTAAGTATATAAAAATATATATGTATATAAATTACCATAATAATTACACCGAAAAAGGTGACAATACATGTATATTGAAAAGCATAGTAAATGTATATACTATAAAGAGGTATTCATTATTAAAAAGGGTTTAATTTTAAAAATAAATTATTAATTAGGTTACCGTATATAATTGTCCTAATTGATTTCATGCTACTATGTATAATTCATATATATATATATGTGTGTGTGTGTGTGTGTGTGTGTGTATGTATTTGAAGACTTTTTAAAGCTAAAATACCTATTAATTGTCTTAATACTTAAGATAAATTTTAGTCAATAAATATTCAATACTGCAAAAAGTATTAGTTTGAATTTGTTAAATAAGATATAATATTATTAAACCGAAATAATTAAAAATAATGTGTTCATAGTACAAAAGATTTTATTATAGTAATTTTTATTCGCTAATAGAATTTGTCAATTATTAAACATTGTTTATGGTAATTATTGTATGACATTTAATAATAAAATTATTACATATAATTTTTATAATTAAGGTATAATATTATTAAATTAAAATTATTAAAATAATGTATCCACAATATAAAACAAAGTATACTTGGCTTAACAATTATTTGTTAATATAAATTTACTATTATAAATTTGTGTAAGAAAAACAAAGAAACTTCTTGTTAAAAGAAAATAATCTCTCTATTTCTTTTTTCTCTTTCCTCACCGCCACATCCTCACTCTCTCTAGAAAAAAGACAAAGTAGGATGAGAAAAGGACTTCATCTACAACGTCTTCCCCCTTCAATTAGATTTAGCTTTTGTTTGATTGCTATTTTACCAAATGAATCGCATAAACCCTAAACGCTGCTTGTTAAAAAAAACATAGAAACTTGAATGACATGTACAAATCTCGAAGTCAACATACTAACTCTAAGTTTCATAAAATCCTACAAAATTATCAAAATCACCGTCGTTATCATCCTCGATCGCATTTTCTATGCTCTTCCATAAAAACTAAACCATTAGGGTTCTGTTACAAAGCCTCTTCCTCCTCAATTTCCTTTTGCTGAAGTAGAGCATCCTTAAGTATTTTCAATCTCATAATAGATGATATAAACTACAAAACTATTAAAGTACAAGGGAATATAGTTATAAAAAGGTAGAAAATTTATATAAAAAGAAAACAGAGAGATGAGTCTAAGCGCTCCGCATTTCCTTCTATTGTTACTGGTGAGATTTTGGAGCTTTTGATTATTTGATTGATGAGGCAACGGAAACATAATCCGTTCCGGTAAGGCGGCTCTAGGTTTGTCAACATACTGGTGCAAAAAAAAAAAAAAAAAGAAATGATGGAGAAGATTCGGAATGGAGAAGCCCTACCGATGTGGAGAAGGAAATGATGGGAGAGATTAGGGAGAAGAATTATAAATCTAATCTAAAAACATAATAAGTGTCAATACAAGTTATGTCCTTGACTTTTGTCCCTTTTTTATATGCTAATAAATATATACATTTTGTTTTAATTGTTGTACATTCATTTTCATTGGACAAAATCACCCTTACACCGTTATAACACCGTTAGTTTTTAATATATCTACCAATTTTATCATACACCTACATCTATCATATCTTTTTCCTATTTTTAATTATCATTTTATTAAAATTATCATATAACAATTAATTTAATTATAAATTATATTTTAATTAAATATTTATATGAATGTTAAATTATATATGTGTATCATATATATATATATATATATATATATATATATATATATATATATATATATATATATATATATATATATGTATGTGTATATTATTTGTGTATATATATCAATATATCATGTATGTGGGTGTTAGCTTAGTATTATTTGTAAATTATTATTATATAATTTTTTTTTTTGTTTTGATCACTATATTATTCAAATATATGATAATTCAAAAGTATCATTACTTTAAGAAATTGCAAAACATAATTTTAACTAATTTTTTAAATTTTGTTACTTACAAATATTTTAATATTGGGCATAAGTTTTCGCGCATCGCGCGTACAAAATGCTAGTTTGTATTTATAAGTGGAAAATACTAATTCAAAAAAGAAGTATAATAATTTAATTGTAATCAAGGTAATAACATTATTATTATTATTATATTAATATTAATATTAAATATTAATTGTAAATAATATCTATATATATATATATATATATATATATATATATATATATATATTATTTCTCATACTAATTACTATTATATTATTAGTATTAATCAGTCAGTGAATTCTGCTTCCTTTTTCATTTTTTTGTGAATTAAGAATTTTTTATCTTTTTTTATTTTTTATTTTTTTTATTATTAATTAGTATTTTTTTTCACCTTTTTCATTTTTTGTGAATTAAGAATTTTTTATCTTTTTTTATTTTTTTATTATTAATTAGTATTTTTTTTCATTTTCTATTGTTTGGGCATAAATGTAAAGAAGGAGGACTTTGTTTTGAATAATATTATAGAATGCTTCGGCCTCTATTACAATGTAATATCTATGTATATACTTTCTCAACCTACTGAAATACAAGAACCAATAATGCCTCCATTGAAGCTCGAACTCATAATTTTCCAAATGAAAGTTCCACCCGGGTACAATTAAACCACATAGTCCTGATATATATATTATAGATATAAATTATAGATTATTGATTATAGTTTTCAGTTCAATTAATTCATAATTTGGTTAAAGATTAAAGATTTAAAATTTTCAATTAATTTGGTTTGGTTAATCGACCAATTAACCGAATGCACATTCCAAGATAGAATGAACTCCATTATTTTGTTTTCATTTGTATTTTGTATATTTTTTTGTTTTGTTTTTGTTCCTTTTGCAAATTCGATGTTTTTTTATTTTTTTTTTCTTTTTAAAACATTTTCATTTCTGCCATTGTGGTGGGCAAATCAGTACGGAGTACTCCGTCATTCTCAACTCCTTCTGCCTTTTAACTAAACCTCTCTTATCTCCCATGGCAGAGCACGAAGAGGATCGCAAAGCTTCTACCATTTCAAAGCGCAAAAAGGAATCTCCTCCGGTTAGCGATCTCACTTTTAATTTTAATTTTAATTTTTTTCTACATTTATTCTATATTTTTCTGAAATTGGCTTTATAGTCGTATTACTCATAGCCATATTTGTTAATACAGTTTGTGGAGGTGATCTGCGACCGCACAAAAAAGACATGGAGGTTTGCAGCCGGGACGGAGGCCAAATTTGCCGTCAAAATGATAAACAGCAAGCTCGATTCCAAATATCAGCTGCCCCCTGGAACGCTTATAGAAGCGGTCAAAGACGGCGAAGAGTCCGTAATGTTCGGCCCCAATGCGGTGCTCGTCAATTACGGCGACGGTTGGAGTCTGCGGACTGCTACTGATCCCGCCGGTATATTTTCCTACCCTTTCGTTTTTGGGTTTAAATTCAATCTATATTTACTTATTTTCCAGTTAAAATATTATGTGGAGTACTATAGATGAATATAATTCAAAATTAGGTTAACTTATGAATAGGTTTTGGGAGGGCTAAGCAGGACAACACCGTGGTGATGGGACAAGCATATCATCCCCCCACCATGGTATGAATTCCACTACTCTTTGAATTGCTGTTGTTCAAGTACTCTCTGCATTTGTCTTCATCTTGTCTCTGAAGAATTCTCTTTGATGAAATCACCAACTTCAGTGAAGAAATTAGATAGGCAGAGATTATAGCATACAGAAAAGGGAAGAACATAGAAGAAATTGTTAGAAACAGTATAGTGGAACTGAGCAAAAAAGCTTGTAATGGAGAAATCACATTAAAAATTTCCAGATTGGTTCCAATTGTGAACCACATCTGTATTTAGATTGGTTAAGGGGGATCTTAGCTAACAAACTGAGGTTCCAAATCAGTGGGTACAAATGCCTAGATATAATTGAAAATGGAAGCAGAGAATGAAAGACAAGTGTTGAAATGATGACTATGTTTTTTTAATACCAAATCCATAATTCAGATATCAAAACATTGTTGTGTTGGCAGTGTTGCCAAAATGCTGTGGTCTTACTTAATTCATTTCTCTAATCTTGTTACCTTTCCACTAAGAACAAATTATTCTATTGCAATATTAAGAAAAACTCAATAAAGATATGGAAGATGATTTGGTAGGAAACTTGAGTCTCTTTTTGCACATCTATTTTCTTTATAACATGTAGACAAGTTGCTTTCTCAACTTCGAATTCTCTCAATTTATGGACAATATCAATGTGAAAGATGATTTAGTTGGAATATTGAGTTTCTTTTGTCACTTCTGTTTTATTTATGAAAATGTGCAAGTTCCCCCCCCCTCTGAAATTCCAGCTCACATATAAAACTTGTATCTGTATCCCACTTTGTGCATCGCCTTAAACAGTTGAGGCTTTTTTAACTAGGACGGGAAATGAACCAAGCTGATAAGGTGTTTCAGCCTTGCCTAATCAAAACCAAATAAACAAGTTCTATGAAGCTCGGTTAATCTAAGATAGAAGAGTTATTAGTCTTATGTATGATTAATTTTTTATGTATTTGGTTATATTGTGCAATATAGTGTCTGAATATAGAGTATAGAGTTAATTTTAGTTTTATCCCTTGACATTGTATTTTTTCACTTTGATCCTCAAGTTCAAAGTCAACTAGATATGGCCCCCAATTGTTGACAATGTGCTACTTTTGGTCCTTCGTTTGGACTAAAATTGACACATTTTCAGTTGGGGACCAACCAACCAAATCTAGTTTTTATTTTATTTTATTTTATTTTATTTTTATTTTATTAATTCAACGATCAAAATTAGAAAAACACAATAGTCAAGGAATCAAAATTGGAATTAACTTGTGAATATAATAGAGGGGGTTCAAATGAGAACAAGGACCTCCGGTAAAAAGTGAGGATTGATTATAGTCACTCATTAGGATTCATCAATGGTTGAGAGTTTTAATAAAAAAAAAAGGGGATCAATTTTATAATTATTGCAAACTTTCATGTTTGCAATATTTATAAAATTGGCCTTGCCCTTTTTCGCCTTATTTTTTAGCAATCCTCGACTGTTGATCTACCCAAATGGATGGATCAGATAAATCCTCCGTCCTTACTTTTTACTTTGAGAGTTTCTCACCTGAACCCTCCCCTATATAGAGAATCAGGTTCAGATAAGAACTAGGCTTCCCGTGAGAACAGACAAATCTCATCCGTCCCTCTAAAAGTGAGGAAATTAAGGAAAAAAAAGGAATGAAGTTTTGTAATTAGTATAGCCATTAGATGGTTGACAATGCCTTGTCATCTAAATCTTCCCATTGCTCATCTATCCTTGTAGTGGGTTTCTTAGATTCCCCCGCTAGTGCTTTCTTCAAATCATTCTAGGTTAGAATAACTTTCATCTTAACTCTCCAGAGGAAAAGCTACTTTCCCATCAAACTTCTTGATATAAAACATGGTGGCAATCGACATCTTTGAAAATTGAAAATAATTCTCAGTTGAACTGCTCTAATACAACTTATTAGAATACTAGATTGGCAATAGGTTCGCCTGACTTACACTACTTTACGTGTTCATTTTTTGCTCATGTTAGTTATAGTCTCCATGACAAATTACTTTGCTTAATGTGTTACTTATTTTTTAGAGAAGTTGATAGTGTGCATGTACAATAATACTTATTTATATATATATATATATATATATATATATATATATATATATATATATATATATATATATATATATATATATATAATATTTCATGTAACTTCGTTGGTGCAAATTCCTCATTCCCTCATATTTTTTTTGGTCATTTTTGTTTTGAAAATTGAGGATTATGTATGATAATTGATAAATTATTTTAAATTTTGGTCATTTGATAGGGATTGGATTACCAACTTACAAAGAGGACATCAGAAGGGGCTTCCAAGGCCTTATACATCGGAAAGATATTGCTTGCATTTATATTTATATTTTTGTTAGGTGCAATATTCACCTTGATGCTGGAAAGCCTTCCGAAGCTAGTTGAGTATCGTCAACATAGTAATGAAACCGGGTTCCGAAGCTAGTTGAGTATCGTCAACATAGTAATGGAACCGGGTAAAATGCCGATTTCCTTACCTTCATGTGTTATTTATCTCACACTCAAAACCATAGTATAAGAGTTTGTCAGGTATGAGTTAATTATTGGTCAATCGATAGTGAATCCTTGTTGATTGTATAAATTCTCATGTGTGAATATAAGTGTTTTGTAATAATCCTATCTTGTTGATTGCTATTATTAGTAATAATAATTATTAGTTTCCAAAAAAATAAATATGTAATCAGACATGTTGAAACAATCTCAGAATTCTTGTCCAACATTTCTTTATGGAGAAAAAAAATATGTTGGAAATAGATCGAAGTTTCATAAGGGAAAATATGATATTGTTATGTGCTTTTAGTGAAATTGCAAGTCTTATTTCGTCAAATGTACTCAAAGGTGAGGGGAAAACTTTTTCAATCACAAGTACTGTCTAATTCAGTTCATTTGATAATAAAGCCATACATGATTATTCTGTGTAATTACTATCCAAAATCTTGACTTAGTCTCGTAACGGGGCTAATTGAACAATTTTGTCATATTTTGTCACAATCCTGCTATATTTTCCTGCTCCAACTCGCGGCAAATTATTGATAAATGGCATATATTTTGGTGGAGGTATACATATGGCAAATGTGAGAGGAAAGGCAATTTTACTTTTCTGTTCTTGCTTATTTATATAATTTCAATTGTATCATTTATTTGTTTTATAAGTATTTTTTATTTTGTTAAATATTTAAATTTAAAATTTGTATCATTAAAAATAAATTATACTCCTTCTGTCTCATTTTATCTGTCTTATTTATTATTCATTGGTCAAACCAACTCTTTATTCTTTTTTTTTTTTTAGTATTCTTTTACTTATTTTTAAATTTAATTTTTTGTGCTTAATAGTATTTTTAGTGTAGTTTCTAAATATATAAATTTTGTATACTAATATTAAACTTAATATTATGAAAAATTGAATTAAAAATAACTTTAGTCAAGCCTCGTTTGACTCTATTACATTGTAGTATCTGTTCAAATATACTTTCTCAACTTAATGAAGCACAGAAAGTCAACAACACCTCCACTGAGGCTCGATCTCATGACCTCCCACCTGGGAGAGGTCACTACATGCCATCTGAGCACAAGATGCTTGGCAGACTAATATTAAATATATATTAATTAAAAATTAAAATACATCAAACATAACTACAACCTAATAAGAATTAATATGAAAATATTTATATTAGCAAATACAACACATAACGGTTAAAATGGTTGCGATCTAATCCAACTACAACAATTATGTTAAAGCTTATTCAAAGATATGATATCTTTTATTGGCATATATGTACAAAAGAAATGCATACCAATTAACGGTTAAGATGATTGCAATCTAATCCAACGATTGTAAACAATTATGTTAAAGTTTATTCAAAGATATGATATCTTTTATTTGAATATGTGTATAAAAGACATGCATACCAATTAACGGTTAAGATGGTTGCAACCTAATCCAACGATTGTAAATAATTCTGTTAAAGTTTATTCAAAGATATGATATCGGAATATGTGTATAAAAGAGATGCATACCAATTAATGGTTAAGGTGGTTGCGATCTAATCCAATCTAATCCAACAGTTATATACAATTCTGTTAAAGCTTATTCAAAGATGTGATATCTTTTATTGAAATATGTATACAAAAGCGATGCATATCAATTAAAGGTTAAGATGGTTGCGATCTAATACAATGACTATAAACATTGCTTGTTGTTCAAGCTTATAAAAACCAATGCATCACCAATCTATTGATCATTCATTCCTTCATCATTTTCTTATCTATCCCTAAACATATGAATTCAAATATGAATTCCAAGTACTAAGTATCAGAAGAAGATTGTGTTAGTAATGGAGTCGATAAGGGGTGATGTTGCCCTTCTTTCTCATTTTTGTCATCGTCGATGCCTAAGCGTATTAGGAGTAGCAATAACTACATCAGTAACTGTGGTAATTATTATGATTACGGGTATAAGAGTGAGAAGAAGAACAAGAACAACATCAAGGGGGCGAATTTTTTGAATCCATCTCAACGTTTGTATTATTCACATTCGCAAAACTTAAAACACTATAATCCTTCATAACATTAAAGGTCTAGGTCAAATAAGAATGTTGTGCTTTTTTTCCTTCCCTCATTTCAACTTCCATGCTATTAATTTCATACATTTCAATGGACTGGTAAACTTCCTATGCCATTTTCTTCATCATCATCATTTTCACAGGAGGCTTGCAATACGAGCACAAACACAATTATTAACCAATGCATATATATACTTGCCTCAACCTTGTTAAAGCTTCCTACATGGAAATTATGGATAATCAACCAAGGCATGAAAGTTCGACTTTTGGTCATAGAGTGATTCATTGTGATCGTGAAGAAGTAGATCGAAGATTATGGAGTGATTATTTTTTAGAGTATCCAAAATATTTTGAAACAATGTTTCGTAGGTAATTTTGAATGCGTCGAAATTTGTCCCTACGAATTGCCAATGCCGTTGAAGGTCATGACAACAATAGATTTGTCTACTAGGATAGAACCGGTATACAAGGCTTGTCTACTTTACAAAAATTAACAACGGCATTTCAAATTTTGGCGTATGGAGTACTAACAGATGCAACAAATGAATATATCCAGATTGGAGAATCATCTGCAATTGAAAGTTGAAGAGATTATGTTGAGAAATTGTAGAGGTCTTTGGGGAACATTATCTAAGAGAACCTGATGCTAATGGTGCTGCAAGGTTGCTTCAAATTGGTGAAAAACGTGGTTTTTCAGGGGTGCTTGGGAGTTTAGATTGTATGCATTGGACTTGGAAAAATTGTCCAACTACTTGGGCATGACAATATGTTGGGCTGAGTAGAGAACCAACTATTGTTCTTGAGGCTGTTGCTAATTATGATTTGTGGATTTGGCATGCACATTTTGGTTTGTTGTGGTCGAATAATGACATTAATGTGTTTGAGGCATCTCATTTGTTTGCAAATCTTGCAAACGGTATAACACCGCCTTGTCATTACATTATTCAAAGATAAGAGTACAATACATTATATTATTTAGTCGATGATATATATATCTGAAATGGTTAACCTTGGTACAACTATTCATAAACCATATTGATTTTGCTATCACATAGCCGAGGGGGCAGGGCTGGCGGTTGACGGCGTATTATGGTTTTCCAGAGAGGAGTAGGCGAATGGATGCGTGGGATTTTCTTAGGTATCTCAAAGCTAGATCTCTTCTTTCGTGGTAGTGATTGGGGGCTTTAATGATCTCTCGTCACAGGCATAGAAGAGGGGTCGGGGTTCACCTACACCTAGAGAATTTGTTGTAGGGGTTTAGTGAGGCTCTAGAGGAGTGTGGCCTATTATAGATTCCTATGGTGGGTTATCCATTCACTTGGGATAGGGGAAGATGTACGAGTGGAGTAGGTGGAGTAGAGTTTAGATCAAGATGTGGCAAAGGAGAGGTAGTGTGAGTGTTTTACTACTACTACTACTACTACTACTACTACTACTACTACTACGGTGTTCAATGTTAGTAATTTTACATTTGATCACTCGACCCTATTCTTGGATGTTCATACATAGTTGGATGAGGGTAGAGTTAGGGGATCTTTCCAATTTGAGAATGCTTGGTTGCTTGACGAGGGCTGTTGGGGGGTGGTTGAGGGAGCCTGGGGGAGTTTGTTGGGTTGATTTTGCAGGAGAAGCTACGTAGATGTGGGTTGCGGCTCAAAGGATGGGGAGGAGACAAATTCCATAAATTTGGTAGGGATATTAAGGTGCTCAAGGGGGAACTAGATGGGCTAAGGGGGTTGAGGGATAATGGTTCGCTGGTAAGGGTGAAACAGTTGGATGGTGAGATAGCCCGACCGTTGGAGCAGGAGAATGCCTTCTGGAGGTAGAGGACAAAGCAACATTGGTTGCGCAACACTGACTCTAATACAAAGTTCTGTCACAAATATGCCTGGGGTAGAAAGCGAAAGAACCAGATTGTGAAGTTGAAGGACGGGGAAGGAAGGTGGATAGAGGGTGAGGGGATTAAGCCAGTGGTTCTAGACTATTATGAGAACATTTTCTAAACATATGGTAGGCATATGATCTTGAGTTCCTACATCCTCAAGTTACCTGAACATATGGTAGGCATATGATCTTGAGTTCCTACATCCTCAAGTTACTTAGGAGCAGAATGGCCGTCTTATGCAACATTTCTCAGTTGAGGAAGTGAAGAAAGTGTTATTTTCTATGGGTCTTGACAAGTCTCTAGGTCCTGATGGCATGAACCCTAGGTTTTATAAAAAATTTTGGGATGTGGTTGGGGGGGGGGGGGGGGGGGGGAATGTTTGTGAGTTTATCCTTAGGTGTTTGAATAGTGTGTCTTTCCCTTACAATCTAAATGACATCAATGTGGTTTGCATCCCTAATAAGCAGGTTCTTAAGATGGTTGTAGACCTAAGACCCATTACCCTATGTAATGTCGTTTATAAGGTTATGGCCGGCAAAGATATTGGCTAATAAGATGAAACCGTTGTTAGGGGATATTATTTTTGAATTCTAGAGTGCTTTTATCCCTAATCGTTTGATCACTGATAATATTTTAATTGTTGCAGAGGTGGGGCATTACTTGAGAAGGAAGCAATGAGGTAGAGTCGGTTGGTAGCATTCAAACTTGATATGGCTCAGGCTTATGATAGCATGGAGTGGGCTTTCTTGGATAAAATGATGATCGATTTGGGGCTTGATAGGGGTTGGGTGGATAAAGTAATATTGTGTGTTACCACTGTTAAGTATACTATTATGGTAAATGGCCAGGCTGGGGCTCAGTTGTTCTGTCTAGGGGTCTTAGGCAGGGGATCCACTTTCTCCATATCTTTTTATTATCTATGCTAAAGGGCTATCTTTGTTATTACACCTCTCTTAGAGTCGGGGTTTCATACATGGTTATAGGGTTGCTCGGGGGCTCTTGTGGTTTCGCACCTATTATTTGCGGATGACAATTTGCTGTTCTTTAAGGCTAATGAACAGAAGTTTCAAAGTCACTAAAAAAGAGAGAAAAAGACAAGAGATAACTTGAAAGAAAACATAAAAGAATTCAGAGATGGAACACTTGCCATGGGATGCAATTCCATTTAATTGTGACTGCGATAATGCATTATCCCTAAGTGCAAAAGAAGAAGAAGAAGAAATGATATGTAGCCTTATGAATAAAGCGTAAAATCATTGCAAAAATCCAAGACATGGAACGAAATTGTCGCAAAAGAAGTCAAGGCGGCGGAGGAGAAACAGTACGTAGGAGTACGGAACCGGGCTTGTGGAAAATACACGGCGGATATATGAGATTCGATGAGAAATGGAATGAGAATATGGCTCGGCACCCTCAACAATGTCGTGGATGCTGCATTGGCTTATGACCAAGCTGCATTCTTGATCTGAGGCCCCTCAACCTACTTGAATTTCCCATTGGAGAGAGTCTAGAAATCTCTCCAAGAAATGAAGTGCAATGGCAAGACTGGGTCGTCGCCGGTTGATGCCCCCCAAATCGGAAGTGGACCCCACTATTAATTGTACCACAAAATAACCACTTATAATGCCGTTTTAAGCTATTTTTTTCTAACAATCCCCCACATGAATGAAAATTGATTTTCGGGGTATTTTGAAATCGGAAACAACTGTGTTCAACGGTCGATCGCTGCATAGGATAGGTAGGTGTTACCCTTTGAACCTTCCCTCGTGAAGATACGTTTACTCTATTGGTTGTATGGTAGAACGCGATGTCTTTAAACCGACTGCCGTTTATGTAAACGATGACATATCTCACACAAGAACCTCCCAACAATGCTTTGTTATCATGATTGTGCCCGTTTTGGTCGTGGGTCACCGTTCATGGTTCTGCAAGAGTTTGTGAAGAATTGAGCCCTGTTCAATTCTCCTTTGAAGAGACCCTCACTTCCCTCTCACATAGGTGATTCTTTTCCGAGTATCTTGCATACTCACACATGTCGACCGACATTCAAATCATTAAAGCATCAACGTGCTAACCTCGTACGGGAATCACTGTTCTAATGAGGAGTAGCAGGGAGTCCGAGAACCCCACAGTGACACACTTCCGTTCCATAGTTTAGTTGTCCCATTGAACCTAGGTGCCAACTAGGTTGGGTATTCACTATAGAACTTTATACCAATGGCTTTAGACCCATTCCTCGTGTCAGCTTCTCCACAACTTCTTTGCCTAACCCTTTGGTTAGCGGATCCGCTATATTGTCTTTTGACTTTACGTAGTCAATTGAGACAGCACCCATTGTGAGAAGTTGTCTAATGGTATTATGTCTGCGACGCATATGTCTAGACTTACCATTATAAATGTGACTCTGTACTCTCCCAATTGTGGCTTAACTATCGCAATGCACACATATTGGAGGTATAAGTCTTTCCTAATTAGGAATATCCTTGAGAAAATGGTATAGCCATTCAGCCTCTTCACAACCTTTGTCCAAGGCTATCAGCTCATATTCCATCATGGATCTAGCTATCACGGTTTGTTTAGAGGATTTCCATGCAATGGTTGCACTGGCTAGTGTAAACACGTAGCCACTCGTGGACTTTGAGTCCTTAATATCATATATCCAGTTAGCGTCGCTATACCCTTCAAGTACAGCAAGATATCTCCCATAGTGCAGTCCAAGGTCACGAGTATACCTCAAGTATCTCATAACCTTTACTATTGCATTGCAGTGCATAGCACCGGGGTTACTCGTATATCTACCAAGTTTACTAATCGCAAAGGCAATATCCGGCCTAGTACAACTCATAAGATACATCAAACTACCAATAACCCGAGCATATTCTATTTGAGAAATACCATCTTCATGGTTTTTGGTTAGATGAACGTTTGTATCAAACGGTGTCCTAGCCAATTAATCATCATCCTTGTTAAATTTTGCAATGATTTTATCAATATAATGTGATTGGCTCAACACAAGACCATAAGGTCTTCTAATGATTTTAATCCCGAGGATTATATCAGCCAAACCCATATCCTTCATGTCTAATCTCGCATTTAACATGGTTTTGGTAGACTTGATCATTCGATCATTACTACCAACGATGAGTATATCATCTACGTATAAACAAAGAATGACATACCCGTCTATCATTTCCTTAACGTAGACACATTGTCACTTTTGTTTATTGACAAACAGGTTTTTTTGCACACCTTTTACGTCAAAAGATTTGTGGGATGACTCCTAGATTTTATCGTTCTCAAGGGATGACAAATTGGAGAAGCTTCGCGTTGTCAATAGTAAGAAGAAAGTTTGTATACGATTGAGGAAATGTCACGCACTATTTTGTAAGGTCGTGGTAGGTTTCTGACAACAAACAACAAGAAATGAAATAACAAGTAAAGGAAATATGGGTTTTGACATGGGAAGAGAACATTGCATATGCTTAGTCTAGGGAGAGAGCTATAGTCCTTTCGTCTTTCAACTACTCGGATTTGCCTGAGAGACACTAGAATTCCCCACTTTGGGCTCTTGGAGTCTCCTAGATCATTCCTCAAACACCTTGCCTACACTACCTTTCCAACCTAACCCTATTGGGTTATTAGGCTAGAAAATGTCAAGGATAGAAGCTTCAAGTGATCTAGCAATCTCTTGCCTAGATCACTTGCTTAGCACAACCCTAGGAGGTGGCCTAGCTCCATAGGATGTGTGACACCCCGAAAATCCATCCTTTAAATAGAATTAATTCTATGCTTTCTTGGCAAAATTACTTCCTAAATTATTAATTAAAATAGTCAGAGGACTTAAATTGACCAATTCCTTGGTCAATTGAATTAGTCAAAGAAATGACCCTGAGCTTTATAGCTTGTACCTAACTTTTGATGTCTTCTTAACTCTTTTTAGAATAAGGGAGGGCATTTTAGACTTTTCACCCTTACTTGGTCTTCAAGCCTTACCCTAACAAGAATACATTTCATTTCCCACATTTGGCAGGAAACACTTACCTCTCTATCTTCTATCTAGAGGTGTAGCTTGTGACACCCCGTAAATCCAAACACTAATCGAGGATTAATTGAAGAATTAATCCAAGTTCTCTTGCTAACCTATTCCTAAAAATCCTGAAATTTAATAGTCGAAGGACTAGATTTTGACTAGTCACTTAAGTCAAAGGGTTGCACCTTGTGCTTCTTGAGTTGTGCTCTTATTTCCTTGTCTTTCCAACTTTAGGAAGGGTAGGAATGTCTTTCTACGTAAGGATTGTGATTCAAGCTAACCTAGCAAGACTCTTTCATTTCATTCACCCTTCAACCTAAAACACAAAAACTCTAGCCTCTCTCTAAAATGATTTAGCTTCTTCTCCAAGCTAGAATTTGAGCATCCAAGTCTTGCAAGATTTCCTCCCAAGATTCCTACTTTCTTCATCTTGAGCATAGGGAAGGGTAAGATCCTTAGCTTTTTGGTGTTTCTAACCTCCTTTTAAGAGTATTTTTCTAAAGTTAGGATCTTTGTTGTGTTTTGTTATGTGTAAGAAGTTGGTGTGGAAGAGGAGCTCTAGGAAAGGCTTTTAAGGGTGAAAAGAGGAAGTTGTTAGGCTACAAAGGTAACCCATGCTTTACAAAACCTATTTTCTTACTTATATGATGATTCTTGGCTTCTACTTGTGATTCTTGTGTTGATTTGTGAGATTTGATGCATTATCTTGTGGTGATGCATGTTTAGAGCTTGTTCTTAGGGTTCTTGAATGCCATTGCTTGGTTATTTCTTGGGTTCATGTCATATTATTGTTGTGTGTGAAATTTTGGGTGTTTTGGACTTGAACTTGACCTTGTTGTTGAAAATCCCCGAAGGGATATTTTGGAGTATAGGTACGTACCCGCGGGCGGAACGGTGGGCAGAGGCCTACCCGCCGCCCCACCCGCGGGGAACCGGTGTCCTCGGGTGTATGTACCCGCGGGCGGAACCGCGGGTGGAGGTCCACCCGTGGCCCCACCCGCGGGGTACATTATTGGTGTTGGCCGGGAATTTGTTCCGCGTGATTCTTTTTACTCGGTATTGATGTTTTGACCTTCCGATGTTGTTTTATTGGGCTATTTGTGAGTCTTCTTGATGTTTCGTATGTCTAGAACGGTGTGTTAGGAATCCATGATAGGATTTGGTGTCTTGAATCGTGCTAAGAGTCCGACTTTGTGATTCGTTGGACTATTGTGAGTCTTGAATGCTCTTTGGAACTACTTTTGGTTTACCCGTTTGTAAGTATGCTAGTTTGATGTTGAAATGCTAGTATGTGTGGTTTGTTCCTTCTTATTGGGATTGGCAACTTGTGTTGACAATCATTTGGTGTTGGATTGTAATCCTTTGTTGTTGAGTATGGTCTCATGTCTTTATTGTGATCTCTTGATTGATTCCTATGATATGAATGTATGCAATTCGTTGTACCCTTTGATTGATACTTGATTGAGGTTATTGTTGAGCCTTAGTCTTCTTGGTAATGATGATGACCTTGTGTGACTATGATTGAGATTGGTGGTGTGTTATCTAAGCTTTGCTCACATGTTGGAGGCTGTGTGAATGAAATTAATGGTACCCTCGTGTACAGAGAGTTCGGCGGTATGTTGGAGGTTGTTGGAGGGGGGACGACGGTCCCTGGCGGTATAAGGTTGGACTCAGAAGTACAGGGTGGCACTAGGAGGTAACGGTTGGACTCAGAAGTACAGGGTGGCACTAGGAGGTAACGGTTGGAACTGTTATAAGGCCGGGGGTAGCCATAAGGTTGGAACAAGGCATAAGGTTGGAACTATGAAACTTGTGACATGTAGTTGTCACTGTGGCATGTAGTTGTCACCATGTGAATGTGATTTCTTTGCTTATGAGCATGTCTTGATGTATTCTACTTTGTGATCAGTAGAATGCATCCTGAGTTGTGTTGTCTTTCACGTTTGTAGTCTTGTTGTTGTTGTGAGGATGGTGATCCTCGTTTATTTTGAGAGTGATTGATGAGTCTTTGGTGTTGACTTCTCTATTTCACTACAAGAAACATCGCGATTCGCGACGGAAAAATTCTGTCGCGAAAACGTGAAATTCCGTCGCAAATCACGTTTTGCGACGTATCATTTTCGCGATGGAATCCATTCCGTAGTCTCAAGGCTTGTTGTATTTCAATTCGTGACGGAAATAATCCGTCGCGAACGATGGCGACGGAAAATAGTGACGGAATTGTTCGTCGTGAAGTAGGCGACGGAAGTCATTATTTCACTAGTCCGTCGCGATTTTGGCAACGGAAATGTTTCTTTCTTTCGTCATTGCGTGATAAAATAATCGGTCGCAAAACTCATATTCCGTTGCATATTTCTGTCGTGAAAGATAACGACGGAAATAATTACTGTCGCGAATCCGTCGCTAACATTTCCGTTGCAAATTTTTTTTTCCGTCATAAAATTTCGTCGTAGAAAAATGACGAAACAAATTGTCGTCGCTATTCCGTCGCAAACATTTCCGTTGCAAATTTTATCTTCCGTCGCATAAATTCGTCGTAAGAAAATGACAGAACAAACTTCTGTAGCAATTCCATCGCTAGATTTTCCGTCGCAAAATTTGTTTTCCGTCACAAAATTTCGTCGTAAAATAATAACATAACTAATCACTGTCGTGATTTCGTCACGTTTTGGATGACAAAAATCTTTTCGTCGCCATAATTACAATAAATATTCCATCGCTAAAACTATATTTCATCGCAATTTTGCTAAATTATTATTTTAATATTTTGTAATTATTATTATTTTGTTAAAATTCTAATATTTGTATTTAAAATATTAATGTCCAAACTAAAATACAATATAATATGTTGTACTCAAATACCAAATAAATGTATAAACAAAAATATAGTAATTCATAAAAGAAAAATTAAATCAAGGTGAATTCGGTCGTGATGAGGGTGATGATGAAGTACCAGTTCTCTCACTCTGAAGAGAATTTAATTTTTGCTGCATAGGAACCATAGAAGCCTTCAAATTCTTAATCTCATCGAGGACCTTAGCAGTATTAGCATTCTCTGATGGCTGCGAGGTTGATTCTATATTGTCCGATGTGTTAGCATTTATTAGACTACGAATGAATGTACCATATGAGCCAAGTCCATAAACTCTTTTTTTTTTTTTTTATCATGTCCGCCAACTGCATCATAGTACAATTGACTCTCATCTACTTCTTCTCCATTTTGTGTTAATACCTCCCGTTGCAATGCAATTTGTCCCTGCAAAAATTTAAAAAATTAGTACAATTTTTAGAAAAATTCATATACATTCAAGGAAAATTAAGATTAAACTTACATGGATTTGTTTGTCTTTTTCAACTATAAATGTTTGACCATCATGTTGTTTGGTATGTGTATGCTTGAATAATTCAAAATATGATGGACGACGACCAAGTTGCTTTTCCTAAAAATTAGTTAAAATAGAAACAAAATAAAATAAAAAATAAAACAAATAAGATTATAATATATAATAAAAGTATTTCAAACATCAACTCAATAAGCAGAATATAATATAATCACACTGTTTTTATCACAATAGTGGAAATAAAAGTTTCTACCAGCATAAAAATTTGTAATTATTATTTTAAAATGAACGAAATTTAGTAAAAATATTCAACAGAGTTTCCTTTATAAATAGAACTATCTCCAATATAGAACTCAAACATTAACTCAATAGAGACAATAAAATTAAATCACAATGATTTTATCATAATAATGTCAATACAAATTTCTACCAACACAATACTAATTATTATATAGAGCAAAAAAAATTCCGATAAAAAAATCAGCATAGTTTCCCGTATAAATAAAACTATCTCCCTGCTTAATATATAATATAAACATCTCAAACATCAACTTAATAGGTACAATAAAATAAAATCACAAGAAGTTTATCGTAATAATATCAATAAAAGTTTCTACCAACACAATAACGCATAATTCAAACAATCCAAACAGAATCACTTATAACTTAAACAGTTCGAATTAACATACAAGTTGAGTGGCAATTTTGGAATGAGGTCTCGATCCTGTGGTATGCGTAGGGATGTCAATCGGGCTAGCCCACTCGGTTTCGGGCTAGCCCTGTCGCGTTGTCGGGTTAATCGGTTCGGGCTAATCGGTTTATTAATATTTTATTCTCAGGTTCGGTTTGGCCCGAACCCTAAACTTCGGGTTGTCGGGCTAAATTGGGCGGGTTGAACCATCTGAACTAAAATTAGAAACTGAAAGTGAGTACTCATATTTAGAATAGGGATGACAACGAGGTGGAGCGGGGCGGGGGCATGAAGTATACTCCCCGTCTCCGTCCTCAACGGGAAATTGAAAATAGTCCCTATCTACGTTCCCGCGGAGAATTTGACGGGGACAAAGAATCCCATCCTCATCAATTTTTAGTCAAAATATTAGATTAATGTTGTTTTAAATTTTAAAAAACTAAAAACTTAAGTTTTAATTTAAATTATATACTTAAGTTTTAATTTAAATTATATATATATATATATATATATATATATATATATATATATATATATATATATATATATATATTAATTATAATAATTATTCCATGTATGTTAGGTTTTACATCACTTCTATAATAAAGAATAGTTTTCAATAGTTCGGGTTGTCGGGCTAGCCCTTTTAATTTTGGGCTAGCCCTATCGGGCCACCGGGCTAATCGGTTTCGGGCTCGTCGGGCTAATGTGTTTTATCGGGCTAGCCCGTTCGGGCCATAGCCCTGTCATTTTTGGTTTTATCGGGTTGGCCCATCGGGTTCGGGCTAAATTGACATCCCTAGGTATGCGTAGATTGAGCAACTCCATCTAAAACACCCCCACGTCTATTTCTCTTACCTAATTATGATTTTTTCTTACTGTCTTTAGAATTCCAAACATCATTCCACTTTGCCCATATTTCTTCATTGATATAGGGAGGTCTTGACTTGTTCTTCATTCTGCTTATATAATCAGCATATCTTCTTTTTGCCTTCACTTCCCAAGCACTATACACTAAATCTGTTTTAGCAACACTCCAATTAAAATGCTTCTGCAATACACAATATAAATAATATTAAGCATTAAAATCTAGACATGTAAACAAAAGCATTTTTAGATATTAAAATATTACTTTGAACTCTTCCCAATAAAAGTTAATTGTATCATCACTAAGTTGCGCCCATGAATAGCCATTGGGATCTGTTCGTTCTTGGAATAGCTTAGTAATCTTTCTAGCGCAAACATCAGAGTGAGTCAACCTATAATAAAGGAAATTCATAGTTTAAAAGAAGTAACATATATTCAAAATTGAAATATCATTTTAATTTAATTAACTTACATCTTGCCCTAAACATCAATCGATACGTGTCCGTTATGTATTATATTATCAACCCGATGATTTTGTTGCTCTGAAACATCATCCCCTGCTCTTCGATCATTAGTATCTATAGATGGTGTGGTTGGTGTGGAAGAAGATAATGGTGTCGATGTTGATATTGGGATTGATTCTGATTCTGATGCAGCAAGGGTCGATGCTAATGCAGGGGTCGATGCTAATGTAGGGGTCGATGTTGATGCAGGGGTTGTTGATACAGGAGCTGATGTTGATGCAAGGATTGATGTTGATATAGGGGTTGATGTTGATGCAGGTACTGGTGGAACAGGTACAGATAAAAGTCTAGCTTCGCGTCCACGTCTTCCATGTCCCCTAGCCATCTTTCCTGCCAAAATATGAAAGATATTATATGTTAGTGTTTCAAATAAAATATATTTAAGCATCACTTATGAATCATGTTATTACTTACTTCAACTCTAATTATCATCATCATAATAACAATCATCATTTTCATCTTCATTCCTTCACTTATCTCGGAATCAAGTTCCTTCAACATATCTTCATGTAAACTGTAAATTTATATTCACAGTATTATATATTAATGAAGGATTCAACATTGGCTAAACATAGAATAGATGTGGAACTTACTTAATGAAAGGTTCCACTTCATCACAATTAAGCAATATATAAGTATGAGCTGCCAAATACTCGGCAACAATTAACCTTCTTATCTTACATATTCCATATAGGCGGCCAAGATTTTTAAATATGGATAACATTTCTTCATCGTCCTCAACTTCTCCTCCATCATCATTTCGAGGTACTTTTCGGCTACGTGTATAAACATGAGGCTCAAAATAATGAGAGCAGAATATAGATGCTTCACGAACTAGGTATGCATTGCAAATTGACCCTTCCACTTTAGCCTTATTTTTCACATCTTTTTTCAACTCATGGAGCAATCTAGATTACAACATATTTCAAATATTATATACAATTATACAAATGTATCAAATATTAGTATTTAACACAATAAAAAAGTAATTATAAAAGTTACCTCTCAAACCCATACATCCAACGATATTGGACAGGACCAGCAATTTTAGCTTCATCCAGCAAATGTTCCATTGAGTCAAAAAATCCCGGAACAAATATGCTCTCTAATTTACAAAGAATTATTGGAATTTCAGCTTTTAATATGATCATTTCTTCAACTTTAATAACTCTTGAAGTTAAGCTTTTAAAGAAAAAGCTTAATTCAGTTATTGCTTCCCAAACCTTGGTTGGCAACATCTCTCGAAATGCAATTGGTATCAACCTTTGCATGAAAACATGACAATCATGACTCTTCTTTCCAAATAGTTTGTATTTGCTCATATCTACACACCTTCCCATATTTGACACATAACCATCTGGGAACTTTAAATTGGTCACCCATTCACATAACACTTGTTTCTGCTTCTTGTCTAATGAATAACAAGCTTTTGGGTATTTACCTGTGGAAGGGCTCTTTTCTAACTCTTTTCTATTACAGAAGAGTTTCAAATCTTCTATTGCTTTTGCATTGTCTTTTGTCTTACCCTGAATGTTCATTACCTTATTAAAAACATTCTCAAAAACATTTTTCTCAATATGCATGACATCAAGATTATGTCGAATGAGATTTGATTTCCAATAAGGTAAATCCCAAAAGATACTTCGTTTTCTCCATCAACAGTTACCATGATTTATTCACCTCATCCGCATCAGCATTGATAACCTTTAAAAATCCAAATTTTTCAATTTCCCTCAACATTTCTGTTCCATTATTAATAGGTGGAGGAAAAATCGTTTCCACACGATTTTTGATGAATCTTCTTTTGTTCAACCGAAATGGGTGATCAAGTGGAAGAAACATCCTATGATTATCAAACCATGATATTTTTCCACCCTTAGGAAGTCGGAATGCTTGTGAGTGTTCCCTACAATAGGGGCATGCTTGCTTACCTTGATGTTCCCCAACCCGATAACATACCATACGCTGAAAAATCACTAATTGTCCACATCAAGGCAGCTCTCATTTGGAAATTTTGTTTCAAAGACACATCGTAAGTTAACACACCTTCTCCCCATAATTGTTTAAGTTCAACAATAATAGGTTGTAGGAAAACATCCAGCTTGTTCTTAGGGTTCTTGGGTCCCGG